GTGCTGTTGTTTACGAAAGCGCCGGCCCAGTTTCCGAGGCGCGCGCGCGCGCCCGGCAAGACGGCGATTCCGCATGCACGGGCAAATTGACAGTGAACAATAGGATTCGTTTGCGACGGATCTGATTGCCAAGAAAAGCGAGCCACGGCGGGTTCGTTGAACACGAATGTTGACTGTTCCGCGGATTACGCTGGACAACGCGCATTTCGTCACCGGGAATATTCCTGCTGCAGTTTCTGCATATTCCTGCAATTTTCTCGCGCGTTTCATCCCCGCGAAAAATCCGCGCTTCGCGCGCGTCTTCTGCAAGTTTATTAGCCGAGTGAAATTTTAACACGTTTTTAATACGATGTATTTGGCAGCTGCGTCGATCCGCACTTTCGGATAGCAAAATATTGTAAAAATAAATGTTCGGATAAGGGAGTTCTTCTAAAATCGAAGATCAGCCATTAAGAATTTCTTTAGAAATTGTTCAAACATTGCGCAATAATCTCGTCCATGATCTGACCAATTATTTAGATTAATATCATGTGGAAGATAGATTCAAAGAAGCGATAGAAAATTAAAGGTTAATTAAAAATTTTTGACGGAAATCGATGACTTCTAAACTTGCTGACAATTTAATCGATTCGATTGGCACGATGATTTTCACAAATATAACTGTTTATTCTTTAAATTTGCTCATTTTTTAATAAAAAGAAAAAAGTAACATGCTGTGTAAATTTTTATTCTACGAAAAACCATTATTACTCTCGTCTTTGTGCCATTCACAATTCCAAAGTGAATTAGCTGTTCCATCGATAAAATCTTTGAATTCCTTACTTTTTGCACTTTGCGCAAAAGACTTTGCGCGTGGACCGTTGTAAGAAGAACTGTACGTTGCAACTTTCGAAAGCGGCTTGCGCCTGTTTCGAGGCATTTTTCCGGGGATGTCAGCAGGAGCTACTTTATAACCTTTTACATGGTTAAAGCTGCTTGCAATGCACCTGGGAAATATAAGCGGTTTACTATTAGAGCTGTCGACTACAAATAAAATTACTGGGACAAGCCTCGAACCATTATCAGGCTCTCCGAGCTAAAAATCGCGAGATTACGACGGTGGTCCCTGCGGTGACAATGTTAATTTCGGGACATTAAAATTTGCCGCATGCAAAATTCCCATTTTCTTTTTTAACTTCGTATATTCCCTACATTCTTCAAATTATTTTTGTTCACGAGTATTGTACTCGTAATCTTTGTGACGCTAAAAAAAAATTAAGTGTTTCCAAATTCACATAACAGTGTAAGATAAATTCGCATAAAGGACTGAAGCATTATTTAAAATATTAAAAACATTCTTCACTGACTTTAAATTGTAGATTATTGAAAAAAAAAATTGTTTCCACAAAATCGAAGAAACCCAGCGAAAATCCAATTTTTTCCACGAATTTCTTTGACTTTTATGCAGACATTGCCATACTAATAATCGAAAAGGTTATGTCAGGCATATTCGATGGTTTCTGCGATGCGGGATTTCTGGGAGCGGTTGAGAACAATGGTTCGCATTAAATGTCAGAAGTATTATCCACAAGGCTAGATGAGCTGGAACAATCAGTGCATGGGAACAGAATGGAAATCCGAAACCGATTGAGCAATCTAGGCTGCCGATAGATTGTTTCTCTCTAAGCCTAATATTCCGAATGGCTAACGCTTGCAGTTGCGGATCGCACACACGTCGATACGCGATACCGTCCCAATCTGGGATCATTAAATCGAATAAATTCGTTATCATCGCTATATATATCCGTCGGCGCATGTACAGCTATTGATAAGGATACCATGTACTTCACTTCATTTACTGTATAAATCTGAGCCATAATTGCTCAAACGCACTTACCAACATGTGGATCTGTCTGCATGCGCGCGTTTAGAACAACAATTAATTTCTAATCTGCAACTAATCCTTCGGCCATTGTAATTACGAGTATTTGCATGCCATTGGGTTTCTGAACTTCCTCGAAGAAGCACTTCTAATTAGAATAAAACACAGATTTCACGTGTTTTTATCACTGTACCATCGATTTCTATACGAATACTTATTTTCATTTGTTATTCTTTCAATATCGGAATAAAGAAAAATTTTCATTCAATATCGCATAATTTAATTGTTGCCTATTTATGTTGTCATATTATTAAATTATTATGTTCTATATTGCTGTTAAATTTGTATTATTATTATATAATAATAATATTTGTATTATATCTATCTCATCTTAACCCTTTTTCTTTCATTCCCTTTTTATATTATTTTGTTTTTGTATATTATATTATATTTTATTCTATTGTATTTTGTTGTATTACAATTTAAACAGTGTATAATCAGTGATCATAACTTCGTTTAAAAAAGCCAAGATCTCGAGCATTAAGTAAATTTACAGGTTTGCAGCATGCTCCAGCAAATGATAATAAAAAAAAGTCAGCACCGGATATAGAATAATGAAATAAAATCTGTTAATGGAACTCGATATTCCCGCGTGTATGCGATGAACCTGTAAATCCGTAATCTGTCCATTACATCGAGTACTTTGAGCGAAGCAAAGGATCATTAATTCTACGCTGTTGAAGCGTTGCAGCGTTAAGGATGAAGAAGATAAAAAAAAGTATATCCGTAACAGCTTTAAAAATGTTCTTCGCTCATTAATCTAATAAAGTCAGTGGTAAAATTCAACAGCGTTCCTTTTAACACTCTCTCGTTATATTTACGTTCTATTTGTCGGCACAGCTTCGATCAGAAACGGATTCCTTTTGTGCATCATCAATCAACGACGTGAAACAGAACGTATTCGTGTCTGAATTTCAAGCTGTCAAAAAAAGAAAAAAAATGGTATTTCAAGCTGAGAATCCAGTTGTGTGTGTTAACACGATCAAAGCTGGAAGCACTCGTGCGTATATAACGAGTGAGAAAAGGATTGTGAAAATGTAGAATGTGTGAATTACTATGACGCAGAAATTTCTGACAGGACGATGAGTTATTGTTAGACTACAAGAGTTTATGGTAACGTGTGCTTTTCAGTTACATATATATGTCGTGCAAATTCAAGCTATTCTGTTCATTTTTATACAGTGTATAATTTGTGGGAAATATTTTCTAGTCAAAATTCTGCATAGTTCTATAGTTTACCCATTTGTTTTATATTTTAACACTGAGAGATTATCGCATCGAACGATATATCGAATAAATCCTTCGAATAATTTATCGAAGAAATTCGTGGAATAAAATTTCCTCGAATAAAATATTTCGAAGAAATTGTTCGAATAAAACTTTCTCGANGCATCATCAATCAACGACGTGAAACAGAACGTATTCGTGTCTGAATTTCAAGCTGTCAAAAAAAGAAAAAAAATGGTATTTCAAGCTGAGAATCCAGTTGTGTGTGTTAACACGATCAAAGCTGGAAGCACTCGTGCGTATATAACGAGTGAGAAAAGGATTGTGAAAATGTAGAATGTGTGAATTACTATGACGCAGAAATTTCTGACAGGACGATGAGTTATTGTTAGACTACAAGAGTTTATGGTAACGTGTGCTTTTCAGTTACATATATATGTCGTGCAAATTCAAGCTATTCTGTTCATTTTTATACAGTGTATAATTTGTGGGAAATATTTTCTAGTCAAAATTCTGCATAGTTCTATAGTTTACCCATTTGTTTTATATTTTAACACTGAGAGATTATCGCATCGAACGATATATCGAATAAATCCTTCGAATAATTTATCGAAGAAATTCGTGGAATAAAATTTCCTCGAATAAAATATTTCGAAGAAATTGTTCGAATAAAACTTTCTCGAATAAAATATTTCGAAGAAATTGTTCGAATAAAACTTTCTCGAATAAATTGTTCGAATAAAGTTTTCTCGAATAAATTGTTCGAATAAAATTTACTCGAATAAATTGTTCATATAATATTTCGAAGAAATTCTTCGAATAAAATATGCCCATCTCCGAACCAGTGCAGATGTACGTGACAGTCAAAATTATGTTTCCACAGTGTCTGATACGTTCTTAAGAACGTACGAAATCAAGGGTGCAGTTCCCCTTGTTTGAAAAAAGAAAAAAAAAAGAAAACCTAACACACTTCGTTCCACCTATTTCCCAGTCAAGAAGGCACCCGGTTCAAGCATTGTACTACACCCCGACTCATAAAATAAGAAGCTTGCGCAAGCATAGGGTGGAAACGTTTACGCAGTGCATTCCTTGTTAGTGACTCGGAGCGAAGGCTGATGAGGGACGTGCGCATACATATGCGTCTATGTCTTCATTAACGCCGAAGCCGTGAAGAGTAATATTTTTCAGAGAATGATCTCGCGAGGAACGATCGCTAATTAATCCACTCTGACACATTCACAAAACATTCCCAGCACGAAACATTAATGACAAATATACACAGAAATGGTAAAACCTGCGAGATAATTCGAACAATTCTTTAATATCGAATAATTCGAAATAATAATATCGAAGAAATAAATCGATATATTAACAAAAACCATTTTGATTTAAATCTCTCATTTTCATTTAAATCAATTATATATTATTATTATATCCAGACAAATATTTATTATATTGAACATTTATTCCTTACAGACGAATAAAATTGCATTCGCTAGCTTTATATTTTATCCATTATCTGAATAAAATGTTGCCAGCTGAATAAAAATACTGTGTTAAGTAATTTAACTCTATGCAGTAATTTCTCCCTAATTCGCGTTCAGATTGTACACAAAACTGAACAATTTAGGACTATAATTATACCAACTATAACTATAATTACTATAGAAACGAGCCGCAAGGCTCGAACAATCGTATCTCCACTCGGAAATTGACCATTTTTGTCCGCAATCTCGGCGCGAATTAGAGAGAATTTACTAGCTTAGCTTGCTCGAGACGGTTGTTTCGGGAACCTTTTCATTCCCCGAATCCGTTCGACCCGACTCGCATAATACAGATCCGTAATACTCACCGTCGAAAGTGGAATACGCGACCATGATATCCGCGTGGGTGGGAATGCGATACACATCCGCGCTATCCGTCTCGTGCACAACTTTCATCTCCACCCCGTTGTCCAGGCGCGCCCCACGGCAAGCCTACGGAAAAGAAAACGCATACGTGAGCAGGCACTCAAGTTTCCAACCGCGCAACCATTCCCTTTGTGCATTCGCTTGAACGCAACGAATGCTTCTTCCGGGAGAAGTACTGCTTGTTTCGCGGAAACAGCGGCGTTCCGTCGATGACGATTGTCGTCTCCGTTTCCGGAGGTTTTAACGCTTCCCGGCGACGTTCACGCCTGAATTGCTGCGCCATTCTAACCGCCGCGGATTTCTAAAGCGACGGATATTTTCGGATGTTTCGCGGGATCGTTGTTTTGTTCGCGCGCACCGCGATTTCCGCGAACGTACGCCGTCAGTGCACGATGCACTGACCTAATGGCCGTTGCGGCGCTGTCGGCTTCCGTAAATGCTTGCCGTTGCACATCGATTATCGATTTAATACTCGAATTCTTCGTTATTCGAGCGCGTCTCGTTTTCAACCAGTCGAAATGAGTATGTATTTCTGATCTCTCTGTTTTAACTCTTCGCCGTCGCGACGCGTCAAAATGTACCACATTGTTTTCGAAGAAGCGAAATCGACAATTAATCGAATACACTCAGAAGTGAGACATCGAGTTCCAATGAAGGAAACGATGTTCTACGATGTTCAAATTATATTCTCGAAATTTTAGATCTCGATGGTATTGCTATAGTTCTTCTGCAACAGAACTTTCGAAGACTGAACTATTGAAACGGAATAGCTTTTTCATAATTCAGGCCGAGCTGAGAAATTGCACTCAAAAATTGCTATAGTTCTTCTGCAACAGAACTTTCGAAGACTGAACTATTGAAACGGAATAGCTTTTTTATAATTAAGGCTGAGCCGAGAAATTGCTCTCAAAAATTGCAATTTGTTAGCCGCTGTTCGTTAAACTAATCCCTCTATCATTTCAACAAAAAATGTAATAGCTCGGCCAAATAAAAGAAAAATGTTATTCCGCTGTAAAAGGTGTACGAGTACTTTGTACACCGACTGTGCGTTGAAGTAGAAATTGCACGAAGCTTAACAATACGCATTAGCCGCGATTAGAGCTCAGCAGTTCCAGCGCTACAGAAAGAATGTGGAATTGACGCGGACGGATTTATATTTTGCACAGAGGACGCGTTACAAATTAACTGCTTTTACGAGTCGCAATGCCGTTTCAAACGCGCTCAGCTCCGCCCATTACGCAGCATCTGTTGCATTACAATATGGAAATCTCGTAAAAGTTGCTGCCTAAGTTACATCGTGGCCTGGCAATCATTTCTGCGGGGATATTATAATGGTAATCCTTCTTTCTGCTACACGAAGGCAGAGTTGCAGCGACTTTAACGTTCCATATTATATTATTACATTATTATTTTACTACTTTATTATATTATTACATTATTATTTTATTATATTATTATATTATTACATTATTATATTATTATATTATTATATTATTATATTATTATATTATTATATTATTATATTATTATATTATTATATTATTATATTATTATATTATTATATTATTATATTATTATATTATTATATTATTATATTATTATATTATTATATTATTATATTATTATATTATTATATTATTATATTATTATATTATTATATTATTATATTATTATATTATTATATTATTATATTATTATATTATTATATTATTATATTATTATATTATTATATTATTATATTATTATATTATTATATTATTATATTATTATATTATTATATTATTATATTATTATATTATTATATTATTATATTATTATATTATTATATTATTATATTATTATATTATTATATTATTATATTATTACATTATTATTTTATTATATTCTTTTTATTATATATTATTATTCATTATATATATATATATATATATATATATATATATATATATATTTTTATTCTTT